ACATAGAAAAAGGCATAGAAATGACTACATAAAGCGTGGTGTCCAAGGTGGTTGCTTAGGGGTGTATCCCTTAGCCAAGTATATCCAAGGGGTACTCTATATCTCCCAAATTTGCTTAATATTAGACATGACACACTGTATACTTTAAATATTCTAAAGCGGCATCAACTGATACTCCACGTGGCTCGATACTAAGTGTGAACAGTGTGTAAATTAGCCAGAATATAGCAAATGTTAGAGAGGCGAGGTGCAGGAGATACCTTGAGCAGCCGGGATGAGCACTGACCTTCACCCTCTGTCCACCTGCCCCCACCTGTTGATTACAGTATATTACCTATTATACATTTCCTTACTTCTATTTATATCAATGCCATGTTAGATATTTATTTTTACTCGTAAAATAATTAGACCATTCCTTCCAATGGAGATATATATATAAATATATATACAGTACTGTATATATATAGTGAGTACATATATATACAGTATATATATATAGCATTTAATTTGTACATACACAGTACTGTACTGTATAGTCTTATCAGATATATATGTTGAGATATGATCTCGTGGGTTGGCATGGCAACAATTAAATTATCAGTGGCTCAGTGTCATGGTGATGCTGCTTAAATGAGACCTCTCCTGTTTCTCATATACATCAATGATCTGCCAATTGTTTCTAACATTCTTAAACCTATACTATTTGCTGACGACACTACCTTCATTTACTCAGACCCCAACCCACACACTCACTAAATCACGAATTAAAAAAAATCCAATCGTGGGTGTCAACCAACAAACTCACACTAAACATAGAAAAGACCTACTCCATTTTATTTGGAAGCAAATCATCAAATTAAATTCAACTTCAGACAGACAATGTTAACATCAGCAATGAAAATGATGTTAAGTTCCTTGGCCTATACTTAGACAAGAGACTCAACTTTTACCCACATAACAAACATACAACACAGCCAAAAAGTTTCAAAATGGTCGGTATACTTTCTAACATTAAATATTATGTTCTAAACTCTGCTCTTCTCTTTATATTACGCACTAATCTAACCCTATCTTACATACGCTATCTGTGCATGAGGTTCAACCACTGCAAACTACCTCAAGCCCATCATCACGCAGCAAAATTCTGCTACTGTCTCAGAACAATAACAAACTCTGTTTTCAGATAACACACAGTCCCTCTGTTTAAATCCCTAAACATGCTAAACATACACTCACTCTACACATTCCCTTGTGCTATTTACATGTACAAAACCCGGTTCCTAAATGCAAATCCTCATCTGAAACTCTTCCTTGACAGATGTAACAGAACCCATAATCACCACACCAGAAATAAATCTCTCTTTGATATCCCCAGATTCAAACTAAATTTGTACAAACACTCTATGCAAATAAAGGGACCTAGTCTATGGAACTCACTCCCTAATGAAGTAAAAAGCTGTCCAATCTTTGCCTTATTCAAAAGGAAAACCAAAAATTACCTCTTTTCATCCTGAGTTTCCTACCTTGTGCTACCCATTTCTCCAATATGTGCCCAAGACATGCAACTTCACAATTTTAACCACTGCTATCAACTTATATCATAGTTGTTATGTTGAATGCAAATTTTATTACAATGTACCTATTAATAATCCTCAAATTATGCTACAATGTACCTGTTGATAACCCTCAAATTTTACTACAATGTACCAACTGTATTAACATTCTTCAAATTTTCTCACAATGTTCCTATTAATATTCTTTAAATTTTGCTACAAGTTACCTACTTAAAATTATCTGTTTGGTTAAGAACCTGCCCGAAACACTGTGTGTTAGTGGCTTTGCAAGAACGTAAAAACATCAATGCTATGTACTGTACTCTCATAAAGCTAATGTGCCTTCTCGTATATAAATAAATAAATTATTAAAATATAAGGAGCAGAGTAATTATATGACTAAAACTTACCTGATGCATGCAGCCGCATCTTGCATTATTTAATTTTTGTATCTTATTTGTATACTCCCAGCTGCACCTGAACTTGAAGATCTTCCTCAGATGTATCTATTTTTTTGTAGTCCTCTATACCCATTAACTTATTCATATTGTGATTTCTGCATTTTCACCCCTCTTTAATTCTGCATCCTTTCCCTCATAGCTGGTTCACATCAACCCTGCTGTAAGGTATTACACTCTTAATTCATAATAATACATTACATTATTTCCATTATGCTTTGCCGTTCCTTTTACTTCATACAGTCCTCTATTATTTGTACATATATACTACCTATTTATGTACTACCTCTATTTATGTACATATATACTACCTGCCGCATTCCCATCAGGTTACTTAATTGCTTTCTCTGGTATGTCTCCACTTTCTCTTATTAATTTCTCCTCGTCAAATTCCATATGGACTATTATCATCACAACTAAGGTTTCTTAGTTGCTAAGGTTTCTCTAATCGCTTTCTATCTTTCCACATGTCCAAAACGGCTCGGGAACCTGTACACCAGTTGATTGGCAGTTGAGAGGCATGACCAGAGCCAAAGCTCAATCCCCGCAAGCACAATTAGGGTAGCAGTGGTGTACGTCCTTAGCTTACAAATGAGGGACCCGAGTTCAATCGTAGGGAAAACAGAACAGTTGGTCATGTTTCCTCTCACCTGGTAGCGCTGTTCACCTAGCAGTAAAGTTGGTACCTGGAAGTTAGGCAGCTGTTGAGGTTACATTCAGGGAAATGTTAGTATAGTTGACTTAGCCACAGACCTCAATATGCCCATAGATACAACAAAAGTTTCCCATCCCCCCAACAATGGGAAATATAATATTTTAAAGACATGTCTACTCTTATTTGTTGCACCAGATACTAACTACAGATGCCCCACACAGCACTCACTAACCCAATTTGTAACAGCCAAGTGGCCTGTGACTCATTCTTTAACACTTCTGGTAAATTTTCCTTCTGTTACTGTAATTACCCGAGTGTAGCTACAGGATGAGAGCTATGCTCGTAGTGTCCTGTCTTCCCAGTACTTATTGTCACATGATGCTTTGAAACTATTGATAGTTTTGGTTTCCACCACCACCTCATTTAGGCAGACTCCATACACAGTTTCAAATGTAGATATGATAGGGCTCAGTAGGCTCAGGAATCTGTACACCAGTTGATTGACAGTTGAGAGGAGGGACCAAAGAGCCAAAGCTCGACCCCCACAAGCACAACTAAGCGAGTACAGTACTTGATCCAACTGTATCATTGTTTGCAAAAGAACTTTCCAATTTTGGGGGTGCTGCTTTGTTTTTTTACTTTGAACCTGTCTTCTTCTTGAGGATGCAGTTTTGAAAAGTTCTTCTTTGTCAATTTTGTTTATTGTTATTATTTTGGATGTAGTGATCACATAACCTCTTTCTTCTACATCTATCTTTGGTGTATGTAACACCTTTAACCTCTCCACATAATTTTTAAGTTGTATGTGGCCTATTCCACATCCCATAATGTGGCATTTATTTACATTAAATTCCATTTGCCAAGTGTTACTCAGTACACATTTTGTCCAGGTCTTCTTGAAGGGAATGACAATTATCTAACTTTCTTATCTTCCCTAGTAGCTTCACATCATCAGCAAACATGATCATATAATTCAGTATTTCTGCCAACTGACTTAAATGTTGAACTAGCAAAAAAAATTAAGCTTATTTAAGTTGATTTTTACATCTGAAAAAATTTGTTAATGAAAATAACACTTGGAGAATTTTGCATTAGCTACATGACTGAATTGTATAGTCTACAGTAGACCTTTTTTCATATTGAGAATTAGAGCAAAGAGCTAAAACCAGGTACATTATTTAGTGTCATGTCTTCCTTCAAGACACAATCAAATAATCATTATACACCCAGGTATCCCCCCTTTTCCCCAAATTGCTCCTAGCTACACATGAATGAACCAAGTGAAGAATGATATGTAGCAGTTCCACTCTGTTCAAGATTCAAGTCATAGTCCTCTCATGTGCCTGGTGAGTACAGTATACATGACAGAGCCCCCACTGGAAAATCTTCAAGAGATGTCAAATTATGTAACAAAATGGCATCTATTAATAAAGTTAAAACAATGCTTCCACAAATATTCAGATCTCATCCATACATGCGCATAATCAAATTTGAGCATGGAATAAAAATTTCTGAGTAAAGCAAGCAACTAATAACAATAAGATATTCTATATGTTGCTTTATAATGTCCTATTATTTCAAGTAATTTAACATCAGTCATAAATCTCCATATTTTTTATCATCACTGCATCAAGGATTAAAATACTTGCAATATGCACCCAAGAGCATTTATAAAAAGAACATGCACAAATACAAACTTTGTTGCAGTAGATTGCAGTACCAAAATCAACAGCAACCACAACTGTATCAGATTTTGTCCTCTACATCTATAAGTCTATCCCCAAAATCTGAATAAGAGTCTTCTATACAGTAAAAACTTTCAGCCATACAATTTTTAGAATTGTATATGCACCAAGTCAACTCTTGCCATTCTCACACACCAGCAACCTTCTGGAACACAATCACGAGCATATTGCACAGTATTTTTTCAATTTAATGTCATTTGGGCAGATGATATATTGTTACAATATTTCCAGTTTTCGGAGATTCTTATTTGTTTTAATTTTGATTAAGGCAAATGGAACAAATCCACAAGGGCCGTGATGAGGGTTCGAATCTACGTCCGGGATGATGCCAGACGCGCCATAGTCTGCCCTTGCGGATTTGTTCATTTGATGCATCATGCAATTGTGATTTCTGTGTGTATAGGCAAATAGATTTTGTGGTGAAACAAATGTGGAAACAAATCACATTATCCCAAACAGACAAAGTCATAATGGGCAACATATGATGCCCATTATGATGCTAACATATTGCAAGGGCAATACATGTACTGGGTACTGTATATATTTTTAAGTCAGCAGTTTCATTTGGGGATAAACTGAAAATTTTTAAGACAACAATGGTAATTGTATTTATTTAATAATGGTGAATAAATAAATATAATATCTCAATACACCGAATGATTAAAAATATAATTTTATTAAAATTTCTATGTTGGTTGACTTGCAAATTAAGAGCAGAAGAAAGGCCTAAGCATATACATTATAAAAAAAAAAAAAAAATCTTCATATATGTACACATAACTTGCCAAAACCCTTTGGTAAGTACCTGCAAGTGCCTTGAACTATCATATCACAATGCTGATATGTCTATGACATTTGGCAATAGCTCACAAACACTGATAAATAACTAAAGTCATTCTAAAAAGTTTTAACGTTTTATCAAAAACTTTCCGTCATGAGCATGGTCAAGCAATATGCCTGACTCTGCATGAAACTTCCTCTGAAGAATCAGAGTATTCATTCTGAGGCACATATCTTCTGAGTCAATAAGGAAAAAACTTTGACCAAAAATCAAAATCACGGTATAAACACAGCCCCCCAAAAGAGATAGAATATGAAACTGTCTGGTCTTCAAAGAGCCAAATTAACAAGAAAAATTAAGATAAAAAAATTGACCACATTTCAAGATCAGAGGGCTAGGCACTTCTGGTTTTGTCAAACACTATCCTTCCTAAGTGTTCACAGTATTTTGTTGTGAATATTATTATTTAGTGAAATGGCAAAGGAGAGCACCAACATACAAAGGGAAATACTGGATTAACATTACTACATCATGGGTTCAATTCCTTTTCAAAGAAATCCACCCATTATTCATGTAAAGCATGACCCATATGTTCTATACATATCCGAGTTTAAAGTTTAAAAGTTAATGGCATGATTGAACTGAATTAAAATAACAAAAATATAGCCTATTAATGATAATTGGTATTCCTACCTTCCATAAATTAACTATTAAACCTTCAAGGTGGGATGGATGGATGGAGGTGGGGTATAATACAACCTATCCACAGCTAAATCAGTATATACTGCCTGAGAAAAGCATCTCTATCCATGTGATTGCTTTGGGAATGATTACTATAAAACTATTTATATACTCTTTTTCAAATATTGAAAGATAATGTTTTACCATCTACATATTTTTTTTACATAAACTGTATAATGTATTAACTATATCAACATTTTATTCACACTATTGTATGGTAAAATCTCTGTACTTGTATTTGGAATGTCACAAGAATTTCCATGGAGCAAGCAGAAACTAGCCTTTAGGAAATATCAGTTAAACTTTCTAGTAAAGATGTTTTAGAAGTCGTAACATACACAAGTTTGTGTAACCTCTGTTTAACAGTGACTGCATTCACATTCAAAATAAACATGAAACATCTTAAAATTAAACTACATATACACTATACATTAAAGCAGCAAATTATTACCTTGTCACATATATAAATCTATGTACAGTTAAGCATGATAGTACAGAACAGAATACTGAATTGGACATCAGTGATGAAACACAGTAACAGTGAGAATAATATATAAATATATTAACTTTCGTTATAAATTTGATCAGGAATTTTTGTACCATTGGCACCTGAAAAGTGAGATTCCAAGTTGAGAATATACACAATAGATGATAGCAACTGCAAAATTATAAAAAGATCACTAGCCTCTTGACTCCTCCATTTTCCAGAAGAAGCTGTGTATCAATTTTTTTCACACAACTAGTACACAAAGGTAGGAGACACTGCACACTAGTTGTCTTCCGAGTGTCATGCTTGAGGTGCATCCTATATCTTGTTATCTGTTCTGACTTGGCACTTCTTCCAGCTTTTTCCACACCACCTATCACAATATAAACAAACATTTAAGTACATTATCAAGATATCATCTAGTTGCAATATATTTCATAATAATTTGTTATGTGTTAATAAATAATGCTTATAAAATAGCACACACCAATATTACTAGAACAACAGTAATAACAAGAGTTCTGATATGAACACACAATTTGTGATGAAATCTTAGGTGGAACATCCAGGAACTGAAGTTGTTAGGGCTTTGCAGTATGCAGATTAAAACAAAAAATGGTAAAGTGCCAGAATTCTAGTCTAATACAGCATAACCATACCATTTATGCTTTTGTATTTACCCAAAACATTTTTATGTAAAAGGATATAAATAAAATTATAAAAATCAACATTATAGTGTAGTTAGTTACAGTATAACCTTTTCAAGGCAAGAAGAGAGTATGAGTGACATCTGGGAGACAATATGAGGTGGGACCTCCTCACTTATTAACAAGACCTATCTTACCTTTTCATTACTGGCATATTTTAGCATGTCTCAACCACATGCAGATAGGTATAATAAAAGTCTCCATGAACAGCCATGCGTTAGGATACGAACAGGGTGGTACAATGAGTACAGAAGCTACAATGATTACAGTGCTGTAGGAAGTGTAGCAAGTAGAAATTGGTTGAATATCTGCAAGCTGGTATGACAAACAGAGTTTATGTGAGTACGGGGGGGAGGGGGGGGGGTGCTGGTGGTTGTGTTGGCAGCACAGGTGGTATAAGAGAAGGATGGATGAAAAAGAAAGCGGAGGAACGTATTTTTGTATATACTGTACAGTACTTTGTTTGCCCACTATAATTACTTGGCTAATGTCTATAATTCTTGCTCGCACTACATTACCACACTGCTAAAATCACCACATTCATCATTTTTATCCATTACATTTAATAATCTCAAAATATACCTAAAATTATTCGTGTAGTGCCACATCTTAGCTTTAATTCACTTTACTTCTGCTTGGGTAGCAATAAGTAAGTACCTTGGAGTTAGTCAATTGTGCATATTTGCTTAATGCATTTTTATCCTTTTATGTAATCGCTAATCAATAATGATTATCTTCATCCATAATTATCTACAATATTCACAATATATAATAATACAGTATGCATTGCAAATAACATCTGTATGTACAATATAAAATAATTAGCTATAACCACTGGTTTCAAAAACAGTCACTAAGGAGAGGGATAGATTGCTTAGTTTCAATAGAAAACCTTATTATGTGTATCATTTTACTGTATATGCAAAAAATTATTGTTAGTTTTAAGCTACTTTTAGAATATATTCTCACGCAATACTCAAGAAATGAAAAGGCAATGGGAACAAAACTAAAACACGGAATACCAAATAATGTAAAAATGTTTCATCCCTTGCAAACCAGCCTGTTTTCATGATTTGTCAAGCATTAGATATGAATTTTTTTTGCCAAACCAGAAGTGAATTAATACAGGCAACCTAGCTAACTTAATGAGACAAATGCTCATCAATTCATGAGTGCATCAATATTGCAGTGCTTTTAATTTCATTAAAGCACCAGAATACTGATGTTGATAGCATAAAAATATAACTATAGGTTGATAGCATAAAAATGTGATGAATTAAGTGAGGACAGGTTGCATAAACTTACATTGCACATTTGTCTGAGAAGTGCCTTTTCACCATCAGCCAATGCTGCATCTTGTGGTGTTGGATGACCACTGGAGCCTTGTTGAGTTTGTGGTGGAGGTCCTTGAGAAGGCGGAGGTCCTGAAGGAGGATGTGAAGCTCCTTCAAGCTGTTCCTGTACCTCCAATACTCTCATTGCTGCTGCGACAGATGTTGGCCGAGACACCAATGGAGGTGGTGGCCCTTCCAAGAGATCATCATCACTTTCTGTAGAACCTATTAGACACATTATAAATGTAGCATATATATATCCAACAAAGAATAAGCATAATAAATATGTAATAATTTAGCTCAAGACTCTTGGGATACTAAACACATACTAGCCATGTTTTGAATATGTGGGTAATCTAGTAAGGTATGTCAAAGATGGCACATCTTAGAATATGAACAGTGGTATAATAAAAGCAGAGTGGAGCATTGAATATAGGAAGTACAATGAGTATAAGGAATACAGAAAGCACAAAGAATACAGGTTGGTGTAATGAGCATAGGCAGCTGTAGTAGCAGGGGGGAAGAGGGAGGGGAGGAGTGATAGTGTGGTACAGTATTATAAGTGTGCTGTGGGAGTGATAGTGTGATTACTAACAAGTGTTTACTAAGAAGTTATATTTAGATCTTTACGCCCAGTTTTCTAGCATTTTGCACATGCCCAGTCTCCTAGCATTTTACCTGTCATAGTTTTTTACATTTCTTAATGTTCTAGTTCTGTCACATTTTTTCTTAAACATGAATGCGAGTGGTTACAAAAACCTCGTCTCTTAATGCATTCACTTGCTAATGACCCATTCACCAGCACAAGCAACAAAAATTTCATTATATTTCTATAACTCAATGTATAACCAGCTTAATTGATATCCACTTATCCTATCTTCTCTATTTTAAAAAGCTATCTCTTTCCAAATTATTTACAAAGCCAGAATGCATCTGGAATGATATACTAAAATTCTGGAGGTCTCAATGTATAGAAAAGCCATTTCCATGATTATTACAGGAGAACAGACTTTAAAATGATATTATAAACCTTACCTGGTCCCAATGGAGTTCTTGTGAGTCCCAGACCAACAGCTCTTAGGTGATGTGAAAGGGAATATGGTGGTGGTTGAAGGGGTCTAGATCCCAAAGATTTTTCCTTTGAGAGGTTGTGCAAACCTATGTTTAAGTCTATAGCTTCGATACCTTCCCCTTCTGGATGTATACGGTCTATCTTGTTAAGTTCTTCTCCAAGTTGCTGCTTCTCAGTCTCTAGCATCATCACACGTGCTTCTAATGATCGGATGTATGATAAAACTTGTTCTGCAAAACAAAAAATATGCAAGAGAAAACTCAATTATTCTTATACTGTATATACTTTATACAACGTGAAAAAAATATAAAAAATCCCAATAATAATAATAATAATAATGTCCACCAAAGCATGAATGTGCACATGAAATGAAGTCTCAGAATGAAGCAAATGTCTCCATAACTAAATAATCAGATAGGTTCACCAGGTTCTTATAAACTTATAAACCAACTCACTAAGACCCTGCCATTTAGTATTGTATTGGGATAGTAACCAGGTGGTCACGTAACTGTTTGGTAGTCTGGCTTGGTGGCAAATCTGAATCCAAGTGCTGCTTAGATGCAGTTCCGAGTGTATATGAATGTAAATCATGGCACTCATTCTGGCCTGAATTAAGAATTTGCCAGTCTCTCCCTTCCCTCATTTATGGCCTGGCAAGGGTAATCACAGTATTTACCAGTATGCATTTGGAGTAATCATTTTGGCAGCATGCACAATATAATTCAATCCAGTTTATCCAGACTAATGTATGCTAGAAGATGTTCACAGGTAAACATGTTCACAGATCTGGATAAACAGTGAGTAGCTGAGAGAGGAAAGGTAAGCCCTGAAGGCAGTGGGGGTGTTTCAAGCATCTATCAATAACACCGCTGAACATTACTTTTCACAAATTTTTTATTAATTTTCACATTAATGAACCTTTATTTAAGATGAGCAAGCTAGGATTGGTTTATTTTCTGTTGGAGCTAAGGTTCCTTACCACACAGTTCAGGTCCATCACCACTTGTTACACACACATTTCTTTATTTATGCCTTCCTGATATTACAAAACTCTTTATTGTTATGGTTACTTTATTTAGGATAAAATAGTGTATATGGGCTGATTATGTGTAGACGGAAATGGAGAGAGGTGGTGAGAGAAGCAAAAAGACAGCATAGGCAAGGCTAGTAGGTGACATTCTAACAATGTGAGGCATTAAACAGTGGTACAACTTTCCCTTGAAGATGGACAGTTGTTTCAGTTTTAGCCAAGGGATGCAATATCCACGAGGAAGCAGAACACCTTCCAAAAAAAAAAGAAATGAGACATTAGCCAAAAAAAAAAAAAAAAATTTGTATTTCTGTTGGTTTTCCTCCACTACACAAGTTTTATTTTCCCTTACCTCCATAATACAAGTCCTATTTTCTATACACTCTTCATACATCTATCTTGAGATCTTGAGGTTATCTTGAGTTGATTTCGGGGCTTAGCGTCTCTGCGGCCCAGTCCTCGATCAGACCTCCTTTTTGTTGTTACAACCCCCCCTCCCCAGGAAGCAGCCTGTAGCAGCTGTCTAACTCCCAGGTACCTATTTACTACTAGGTGAACAGGAACATCAGGGTGAAAGAAACTCTACCCAATTGTTTCCGCCTCAACTGGGGATAGAAACCAGAACCTCAGGACTGCGAATCCGATGTGCTGTCCACTCAGCTGTCAGGCCCCTCCACTACACAAGTTTTATAACTTCTCAATAATGGGGTTTTCCAGTACATGAAGCCAATGTCCAATCTGATGCATCAAAGACCCCAATTGTTGCAATGTTAACAAAAATTACATTAATTTATCTAAAACCAAAAAATCCTATAAGGGGAATCCAGTCAGTCTAGATACTAAAATGGTTTATGTGCCTGCTGCATAGTTTATCACAAATTATTTATCTGTATTGAAATTTCATAGACATGCATGTGCATACATGCATGTACTGTATAGATGAGTGCTTGTACTGTATATGCAGTGTATGTACACACAAACATTCATTATATAATGTACATTCATTATGTTCATGTATGTGTACATATACATTGCACATACATTATGTGTATATTTATATGTATGTTTATAAATGCATGTGTGTGTGTTCATGCATGTTTACTAATATAGTTGTTAATGAATCAAAACAAATACACCTAAGCTACTACCTTGATAGGGTACTTGGAAGAATTTGTTCTTCCATACTTCAAGGCAATCATCCTCCTTACCACATTTCCCACTTTTCTGGGTGGGGAGGCACTCACCTAGAAGGGAGGGAAGAGCATTGCAAGGAAAGTGTGTTCAATTGAATTGAGACAAAACAACAGGTAACCTACAAAATTCATTTATATACAGTATATATATTTATTTTATTTTTCTACGAGTGGAAGTGAAGAAGTTACAGATGTACATAATGAGTACAGGATTCCTTATACTGTAACAACATTGCATGTTTTCTGCTAAATAATGATAGAATGGTATGTGAGTAAATCTGAAGTTAGGAAAGAAAGGCCAAGGAGTGATTTGATGAGTTAGTGCTAGAAAGCATGGATTTATAATGAACTGCACTGTTGTAAGGGATGATGTTGAGTGAAAGTAGTTTGTTATGAGAGTGAGCGAGTGATGTTTTTGTTAACAATAACTCGCAAGGAGAGCTTTATAACTAATCTATGAAAGAGTGGTGATACAGTACTGCTATGGACTTATTTCTTTGAGTAAAGTGGTGTTCAAGTGTGGTGATGCTGAGTTCACAGAAGTACAGTAGTTTGAATGGGTATCCCCCTTTGAGTGTCTGAATATATTTAACACCCATTTCCTGCACTGCATTACCATCGTGTCTTCTCCAGACTAATGACTTCCAAAACCATGAAGATGAAAAACACGCTGATGATGATGACGAGTTACTTCCACACAACAAATATTTTAACGAGGACACAAGCTAAGCGCTCCCTGTCCCTGACAAGGTACAGTACTTTATATCCCACAGCATTCCAATTGCTTCTCATTCTCTCAAACTTTTTCCTGATCCCCAAATACCACATTTAATTTTTTTTACCACATTTTTCAGCAACCATCCAAGATGCTAATGTTGATTTGAACCAGAATATAAGTGCACACCTGATATGAAACATTTCCATACAAACAAATATTTACCATTCATAGGAGACCTCTGACGGTTGAGTGTGTCTTCCAATAGTCTCTCTCTTGAAGACGACCGTGCTAAGGGAATATCAGTTGGTGGAGGTGCAGGAGGCTGAGGAGGGGCTTGAGTAGGAGGATGTGGGGGTCCTGAGGGCTCATCTGCATTAGTTGATGAGGAGGAGCCATCACCATCATCCCGGGTAATAAGAGGATGCCCACAGTGACTGCATGCGGCATTATTTCGCTCCTCATCCAAATATAAACATAATTCCTGTGTATGAACATAACTAGCATGAGAATGCAAGATAATTTTGTAGAATCTTAAAAATAATAGTAATGCAATAAGGAATGGAGAAAGAGCAATTATAAGATGAAGAGTAATACAAATTGCAAGAGGTAACTGTAATTTGAGGTTCACACTGGAGTGAAGAATATGTATGATCATGGTATTCAACCACATTTGTGTAGAGATTTATGACTGTCATGGAATGACACTACATTATTACCATTTTAGATCCTGTCTTTTAAAGCGGAACAATGCTTATGTCTAGATATATAAATTAATCAGATTCAAACCATTCTTAAATTATTTAGCAAAAAATCTTACAACATCAACAAAGCTAAACACCTTATTTTCTGAATTAAAAATATATCTTGATTTTTTTCAATATCAACAATAGATAAACATAGTTTAAATTTTTAATAATATCAAAATAGGATTGATCATTTTGTCACCTTTAACTCCAAGTTATCCTTAATAAGTTCTTGTTGTTTAGCATCCAGTTCTCGTAGCTTATTCTGGTAGGCTGTGACTTCTTGCCGCATAACAGATGCAGTGTAGCGTCCAAAGCGTTGCCACTCTCGTGCTAGTTTTCTTCCCTTCTGTCTATCGTCATCAAGAAAACAACAGAGATCACGCAGTTCCTGTGTAAGAAGAATCACTATTATCTGTAGACTTACTTTTAGAAGAATGCTGAGTAACAGTGGAGTAACAAGATCTATTTGCCAAGCCATTTCCAAAAAACACACAAATATCACGTGAAAAGTTTTATGAAGTCTATATCTATTTTATAGTATGGATTAGGAGCATACACAATGGATTCTGTCAAGTCTGTTAAGTATCTAATAACAGAAGTCTATAAAGTCTATAAGACAATTATTTATCATTTTCAGGAAGAAACATTGCTTTTGGTCAATATGAAAATGCCTTTCTGACACACAGACTCACAGAGTTGCACTCTTAAATTAAGATCTGCTGTCTCTCTCATAAATGTATTCTGGAATCATTGACATTAATACATTTAATAAATTAATGCATTCATGAACAGTATTACAAATGCTGACTCTGGAGATAAACACTCGGTAATGTCTGTGCAAGAAAATGGCAAATTTTGTTATACAGTAGCTCTAAGAATCTATGGTAATTGTAATTCAAACTTAAATAGTAGTACGTATTGTAATTGCCTTAATCTCTCTTTTTACATTGCAGAATGAGTTTTAATTTACCCAGCAATCCAAATATGCACAAATGAATGAAAATAATTTATAAGCACTGCAGTGAGAATGTTATCTTCCCCAAAATTAACACAAGTTTACTGTTTATTTTAGACTAGTCACAAGACTTTTTATTTTTTATCCAAACATGACTCATCTTAGTTTTTTAAACAAAATGATGAGTGTAAAAAGAATAACGTACAAGAGACTAATAATGATAACAGTGAAAGTGGCAAAAGTTGTGTTTTGACTGCTTATAGTTCAAATTTTTAAACTGGATCCATGGGCAATTCAGAAAGTAATGGTGCTTTGAAGTCTAACCTGTATCCCCGTTCACGTGTTTGGACTAAAGAAATGTGGAAGAAAAAATGGAAACCTATCCATAGTTAGACTTCAGGGATGATAAACTTGGGTGTAAAGTATGTGCAAACATAAGCAATATGCAGTAACACTTTTCACTTCTAAGAGGTTAAGGGGCCTCGTAGCCTGGTGGATAGCGCGCAGGACTCGTAATTCTGTGGCGCGGGTTCGATTCCCGCACGAGGCAGAAACAAATGGGCAAAGTTTCTTTCACCCTGAATGCCCCTGTTACCTAGCAGTAAATAGGTACCTGGGAGTTAGTCAGCTGTCACGGGCTGCTTCCTGGGGGTGGAGGCCTGGTCAAGGACCGGGCCGCGGGGACACTAAAAGCCCCGAAATCATCTCAAGATAACCTCAAGATAAGGCCATCAAATGAGTGGCAGATGTATCAAGTATCCTATTATGGAGCAGATCGAAGTACACTCCTGAAGTCTCTCAGAATTTTACATTTTAAAATGCTGCAGTGCTACACGTGTTAAAAATGTAGCTAATGAAGATGCTCTTGGAAAATTGTGTGATGCCACAAATGCTTCGCATCCAAAGACAACTTGTTTAATTTTGCGTTATGCATATTATTTAGCTCAGAATGACAGATCATACTCTATTCACTTTGGCTTACTGCAACTACAAAAGCAAAATGGTGTTGACATTGGAATGGGACTGCATTCCCACACTAGTGCCACAGAGATAATTAATCACATATCCATTAATAATATGAAAAAGAAAAGTTGCTAGCATATCAAGCAGATAAATGGCAAAATTTCTGTTCTCATTAATGAATCAACAAGCCTGAGCATTAAAACAACCTTAATAGTTTATTTGAAATGTTTAAGTGATAAGGAAGGTAATCTCCATTTCATGTTAGGACCTCTTCTATTTCTTATATATATAAACGATCTGCCTAATGTCTCTAATATTCTCAAACCTATACTGTTTGCTGACGATACTACTCTTATCTATTCAAACCTCAACCCACATACACTAAATAATGTTGTGAATAATGAATTAAAAAAAGTCTACTTATAGATGTCAACGAACAAACTAACATTAAACATCGAAAAGACTTACTACATCTTATTTGGAAGCAAATCATCAAATGCAATTCAGCTACAGATAGACAACATTAACATCAGTAATAAAGATGATGGCAAGTTTCTTGGCCTATTCCTAGACAAGAGACTCAACTTCAGCACCCACATTCAACACATAACTAAGAAAGTCTCTAAGACAGTTGGTATACTCTCCAAAATCAGATATTATGTTCCTAACTCTGCTCTCCTCTCACTATATTATGCACTAATTTACCCCTATCTTAATTATGGTATCTGTGCATGGGGGTCTACCACTGCAAACCACCTTAAGCCCATCATCACACAGCAAAAATCTGCTATCAGAATGATAACTAACTCAGCTTTCAGACAACACTCAGCTCCCTTGTTTAAATCCCTAAACTTGCTAAATATTAACTCCCTCCACACATTCTCTTGTGTCAACTACATTTACAAAACCCTGTTCTTAAATGCAAACCATGCTCTGAAACTCTCCCTGGACAGATGTAATAGGACCCATTATCACCACACCAGAAATAAATATCTCTTTGATATCCCCAGGGTCAAACTTAATCTGTGTAAACACTCTATGCAAATTAAGGGACCTAGTTTATGGAACTCACTCCCTAGTGAATTGAAAAACTGTAAAACTTTTGCCTTATTTAAAAGCAAAACCAAAAAGTACCTAACTTCATCTTCTTAGTTTCCTACACTGAGCTTTAAATTTGCTCTGTACCTAGTGTTACCCAATCTCCTAATTTTTATGTAATTTCAAACAACCTTATCATTATGTTCATTGCTGTCTTCTTTTATGTGCTAGCCATATGCTGTATTGTGACTACCAATTTTTGTCAACTACCATTCAAGCTGTCATTGCAACCAATCTTATATTGTTTCTGCTGTATTATGCCTACCAATTTTTTTTGTCAACTACCATTCAAGCTGTCATTGCAATCAATCTTAACTACCTATGTGCTTTAATATACTGTACAATTTTCTCTCATCTTTTTTTTTCATTTCATGTAATCTGTTATCATTTTTTGTCTATAATTTTGCAAGTATTTACCTCCTTAAAATTTTCTTAGATTAAGGACCTGCCCGAAACGCTGCGCGTGCTAGTGGCTTTACAAGACTGTAATTACCATATTTGTATCCTCACATTCCTTATGTACATTCTTGTATATGCATAAATAAATAAATAAATAAATAAATAAATAAATAAATGTTCTTCAGTCTAATTGAACTACCTGATCAGAAAGCAGCAACTATTGCTAGGCACCAATTGAGCTGTCTCAATTATCATGGGTTTGATGACTTATATTTGAAGCAGAACCTTGTAGCATTTGGTAGTGAGGGGAAGTGTCATACTTGGGTGTCAAATTTGGCGTTGCAACAATTTTCAAGATTACCCTGATATAAAAATCTGGCACTGTCTTAATCACAGTTTAGAACTTACAGTAGGTGATTCAGTGAGAGAAGTCATGGAATTAATAATTTTCAAGCATTTATGAACAAATTGTACTCAGTTTACAGCAGATCGCCTCTAAAGCAAAAGAAGTCTGATGCACATCCCTTCCGAATGTGCCTCTCAACTTGAACAACAGATTTGCAAAATAGGTCGTGTTCTGAGCACCAGGTGGCGGCCAGCTCATTTCGAACAATTTCAGCTGTGTGGAAAAATTATGAAGCACTTTGTTTGTACTTTGAAAAAGCTGTGAAAGATGAAACAAAATTTGGAAGTGATAGAAAAACTATGAAGGTCTGTTGAAAATGGTAACTTCAAAACATTGGATTGGATTTAGATTTATTGGATTTTCTATTGGATTTAGCTCTAATGTACGACACATTGTGTGAACTTGGTTTACTGTCAGTGGGTCTACAAAGAAACACACTACAGTACTCCGATTGTGTATGCAAACAAACTGATTCAACGGAGCCTAAGGTCAGTGCATGGACTAAAAGAGAAACCTGGCACTAGAACTTTAGAAGCTCAAAAGGCAATTGAAAAGGAGAAGTTTGAAGGAATTACCATAACACGCAACAAGAAAATTGTCTCCATTAATTGTTAACAGTTTCTTACTAGTCTTGTGAACAATTTGCATGAAGCAAAGCTGTCACTATACCATCCACCCCAAGTGGTTGGGCAGTCATTGATGACAGGGACAGAAAAGGGAATCCTGAGGCCAAGTTGAGGCAGATATGATGGCAAGAAGCATGCATTGTGAACAGTTTACTCTCTCGCGTAACATTTTAAACGTGATTCCAAATGCCTGGACCAATTAGACCAAAGGAAAGCTGAACACTTGTCTGCGAGACTCAGGCACCGTAGGTCACCGAGTGTGACTGTCCATATACCAGGTTTGTGCATGATGGACAGTGTATGATGTGCCACCATTTGGTAGTGGAGGGAGAATCTGACAAATATACTTTTTTTAGCTAATGGTCTGAACTTTGTTTTGATAGTTCAGCACTTGTCAAACATTTTCCAGAGGAGGGTTGAGCAGTTTGTGCCCTAATTTCAATTTTTTTGGGGGCAGTGTCTTTTAGTACTGGATAAATTATTATTCCCCATGTGCTTCCCACTCACTAGAGCAGTCAAGGTCGCTTTGCAAAGGTCCTTGAACTCAAAGGCATTTAGTGCATTGCTGGTGCCTGTTGTCAGTGTGTAATCTGTGGGAGCTGCCAAGAAGAAAAAAAAACATTGGCTAGGAAAGCACAAAAGTGCCAGCAAAGAAAAATTCAAAAGTTTCAAGTGCCTCTGAGGTTTTTGTAAAGGGCAATATAGGATTACAACTAGTGAAAATTTGCAAACATATTAAGGTATCTCAGAATCAAACTACATGGTGTGTTTTACAAAATAGACAAAACAAACTGCAGTATCACCAATGGTTGACAGAAGCATCCTTCACTCGTGATGTTTTACCTGGCTGGCTCACGAGACTCCTGCAAATACCAGTACTGTATTTGAAACTCAAACCACTTAGAAAACAGTGTGGACAAAGTACTGTATAGGAATCAGTA